CAAGCCACAGCCCTGCAAACCCCATTTTCATCACGAACCCCATCAGCATCGCCACCGGCATTCCCACCAAGTAAAATGACCCCAAGTTTATGTTGGCTCCAATCGTAGGTCTCGCACTTCCCCTCAGAACACCGCAGCCGGTGGTTTGCGGGCAGTTTCCGAGCTCGCACAGCCCTGCTATCGGCAATGCAGTCGCCGTGAGCTTGAGTATCTCGGCGTCATTAGTGAAGAATCTCCCCCATTGGTGCCTCATCAATGTTGTGAACAGCATGGCTAAAAGGCCTAAAGCCACTGAACAACCGAGCGAGACGATCATGGAAATGCGCGCTCGTGAGGGTCGATTAGCGCCCAACTCATTCCCAACTCTCGTGGAGACGCCGAGGCTAAGCGACGAAGGGAACACGTAGACAAGAGAGGTGGTCTGGATAAGTATTCCCATTGAAGAAATGGTGGCTTTCGGGTTGGCTAACAGTCCGCACAGCATTATCATGAACTCATACCACCACCATTCGAGGCAAACGGAGATGCAGGTCGGGATAGCGAGCGCAAGCAAAGATGACCAGCCGCGGAGGCAATCAAAGCTGGGACAAACCCACGAGTCCTTATAAACATTGGAGAAGTACGTGAAGGAGAAGAGCAGGATGAAGAGGTTGAGATTAGTCCAAACCATGGCTATGGCCACTCCGGAAATCCCCATTTGGAATTTAACGACTAGGAGGAAGTTTAGAGGGATGTGGAGGAGGACAGAGATGGCGGAGCAGTAGGTCACTGGCAATGTGATGTTTTGGGTGCGGAGATAAATTCTGAGGGGGTGGAGAAGAGAGAGAAAGAAGAGGTCAGGAGTGGAAAAGAGGATGAAAGTGTGGGCGACGGAGGAAATCTCTTCGTCCTGGCCAAACCAGAGGAGAACTCTTTTCATGTTGAACCACATCAAGGAGATGGGGAGGGAGGTAGAGAGAAGAAGGAGGACGGTTCTCTGAAGGGTTAGGCCAAGGAGCTTCATCTGTTTGGCCCCGTAAGCTTGCCCGCAGATGGGTTCCATTCCCATGGCGAGGCCGGAGATGACAGAGTAGCCGGTGATGTTGGCAAACCCAATTGAGAGAGAGCCGCCGGCGAGCTCAAGCTCACCGAGATATCCTAGAAAAAGCATGGAGATCATGGCTCTTGAGTAGAGAAGTAGGCCTGTCATGGTTGATGGACCTGAGATCTTCCCTATTGCCTTGATTTCTCGTACAGCCTGAAAAAATGAACAAAAAGAAAGAAAGCAAGAACTAACACATGTTAATTAATTGTTTTATCTCTAATCGCCGTCAGGCTGGCGCAGGTCCAAACATTATTAATTAATTTAAAACAAGAACTGTATAGATAAACTTTTTTTTTGTATGATTGTTACTGCTTTTAAATGTTTTTGGTTTTGTTGTACGATGAAAATGATTGTTGGGTTTTTGTTTGTATGTACCTCTGAGAGAGTAGGCCATCTACGGAGCTCTTTATCATCGTCTTCAACAAAAACATCAGAACAGTGAAGGTCGTCGATGGTTTTGTTGGAGGTTTCGATGAAATTGGTTCTGTTGGGAGAAAGAAGTGGGGAGGAAGAAGAAGGCTTTGGGTTGCACATGATTGATTACCTTAATTTGCTAAGATAAAGCTAATGATGTTTTGGATAATATTTTAATGAGCAGGTGTGGGAAGAAATAGAACTAAGGACCCTGTATTTTGTTTTTGGTTGGAGGGATTTGAATGTGAGAAGGGGAAGTTGGGGAGGAGGTTTTATATACACATGGAAGGAGTTGGCCACTATTTTTTCTTTCATGAACGTGTCAATACATCCAAGGAGAACACTCAGAGGGAAAAAGTGTCCTCCCAAAAATGCTTTGAAAGGATTCATTCAGCCAAAAAGATAAAATGGAAAAAAGATAAAAATCGAAAGAAAATTGCTCATGGGGAGGTTGTGTGGGGGCCGAATTTCCATTCTTCCCTAATTTTTAGCCCTCCTCCCTCTCTCTCTCTCTCTGTCTCTAAAAATATTAGGTTAGTCACTTCATTTTGTTTTGCTATTGTATGAAAGTTGGAAAAAGTTTGGGTGGAGAAACTTAAAGAAATAAGGCAAGTGAAAACCCAGAAAAGGTAATTGGTTGCTTTTGACCGCCATGCATACATATATTCTGTTTAGTTTTGATGATAATTGTACCCCCATTTTGGCACTTTGTCAATAGTGGGATTAACTTGGTGTCGATGCATACACGGTTAAACTTTTTGCTTAAGTGGATAATCTTTTTTAAACCCCTCCCCCCAATCTTTAACTTGAATTGGGATCTGGTTTTCTATACCAATAAAGTAAACAAGTTTATCTTTAATTAGGATGCCATTGCCAAGTGGGATTGGTAGCAAAAAAATCCCTTTAATTTGTTGGTTGCTTGCTTGAGAAATGACAAGAGCCTATAAGTTGGTTGTGTATTGTTGTCTTTGAGAATATGGGCAACAACTGCAACTGCTAGCTAACTTGTGGGCAGCAAACATGCTTGCATGTTTGAACTTTTTAGCCATGCATGTTTTGCATCTTGGAACAAAACACATGTAGCAACACCCATTATCAGCAAAACTCTTTGCTGTCTTCAACTATTTGATTAGAACGCATCGACACATGACTAACTAGCTTCTGACTAGTTAGCTCAATTTGAGAGGTGCCAAAGCTTGTATGCAAAACCTGTTCTAGGCCCTCCTACCCCACTCAGGAGGATTTAAAGACATGGGTTTTGAAGTCAATCAAATATTATAACTTGTGGTAGAGTTTGTTTCCCTTCAAAGTGGCTTTGATTTCATGATCCATTTTTTAAGATCCTAATCGCATATGAAAAGTAGTAATCACTTTGGTAAAAAAGATAAACCGTCGTCCTTCTCTAGTGCAACGCTAATTAGGGCTTCGTTTGGTGCAAGGATTGGTGTCTAGTACAGTTATGTCCCTTAAATTCTCACATTTATAAAGTGTACTTGTTTTCTCTATTATGTCGTTTAAGGAGCTTAGTCTCATCATTGTTAAGTTCATCAAGCATGAGACAACACCACTATTCAGTTGATCATGTGCGGTTAAGTTTCACTTCCCAGACAAGACCTGGATGAGTAGGGCCTTTACGGGCCCTTGCTATCACTCTATTGAGAGATGTTGCTCGAACTTTTTTCATGCACTCAAACTCAAGCCAGATAGATGAGGTTGCTGGTTTAGGACGTAAACAAGAAATAGAGACTTGAGACGGGATAAAAGGTATCAACCACCAGAAAGACTGAGCATCAAGATTTGCTTAGTTTGCCGGTAAATTGGGGCATAACCTAATTTAACTAAACAAGCGGGATTTTGGTTTTTGTTTTGGGGAAGGGTTTTGTCCAAGTGAGGAGAATGTGTGGCAAATCTAAACTCATCTTCTGTTGCACCTTTTTCATTATATTTTTTATATGTAACAAATAAATAGATGGATAATTATGTAGGCGGATAGATCATATATGTTGATGGGTATGTTGGAGGTTGGTGTTGTGTGATGGAATGGAATGGGACCACTGAAATGGATTGTAATGGATGAGAGACAGAGAGAGAGAGAGAGAGAGAGAGAGAGACAGAGAGATCGCTCTGTGTGTGGGTTTGGAGAAGAGGCAGGCAGATGGGAGAAAGGGAACACTGAGAGACAATTACGTGCTCAACTTACGACCGTTTAATTTGTATCCTCTTCTCACAACAGAGATGAGTCTGTCTCTCTGTGGGAGAGAGCCTTGGCTCTCTCTCTCTCTCTGCGTCTGTTTCCTGCTCTGCCTCTCTGCCTGCTACCACCAGCCCAAACAAGCAGTGATCGATACTGAGCAAGTAAAACTTTTTCCCACCTCCCATTTTGAGACACAGTTAATTTACAACAAGAAGCCACGTAACAGTATCTCAAGTCAATCATGCACTGACATAAATGTAACTGTTTTGGTATCTCAAATCAACTATGCACTGTCACACGATTTAACTTTCTAATATAACATTGCATGATTGTGTTGGTGTATACAATGACAGAGTGACAACTCCGTCGCATGGAAGTCCATCTCTCCTCTTTGAGTGACTCCAAGAGACGGAGAAACTTGAAGAAAGAAGGAATCAGATTTCATTTGTTGGCTTGCATTGTAGAGATTTTATTGCATCCCAGAAACCCATAACCCCCGCCCATGTCAGATTCTCCATGTGTATCGAGCTCAATGAGTTTTTTTTTTTTTTTCCTGTAGAGAAAGATGAGACTTGAGAGGTGCGTGTCAAAAGCAACAAATCCAATGGACCAAAATGAGTAAAAACTGCAAATTAAAATCCAAAAGGTATGCATAGAGTTGCTCAACTGCAACTTTACCGATCAATCATGCATACAAATATTATATATATATATATATATATATATCTGTGTGTGTATTTTTTTTCTTACAAAATATAGATTTTTGTCACATTCTTCTGTCACACATTTTGTAATCTTTGATATGAAAAATGTAAAGGATTCACGGGTCATTTTTTAGGTGTATTATTCATGCACGAACGGTCATTTAAACACAAAAATGGTTTTCCTTCCAATTGGCAAAAAACCAACCCATTTCGAATTTAGCATCTTAATTGGGAAGTGTGGTCTCATTCACTCTCACCCAAAATGCAAATCCACCAGTTTGTATCAACCCAAGTTGTCGTTATAGTGGGGATTTATACTTTTATACTTACACTCAATCAAGAATTTCAGAATTTTTGTTACCAACAAAAAAAAAAAAAAAAAAAAAAAAGGAATTTCAAAATTTTGGTGGGGCATCAACCACATAAGTGCGCTTTTGGTTACTTAGTGATTAGAAATGTATAGTCACTCACTCGTAGTTGTAGATTTGACGTTAAATATAAAAAAGAATACTACTAGAACGTAATAGTAAGTGTCAAACGCATCATTATAATATTAAATAAAAAGATTAGTGATCACAAAAAATAAAAATAAATAATAAATAAATAAAAAAAAAGACTCTGCTTCACCCATATCATAACAAAATAAATATACAAATTCCAATGCAAGTTTTTGGGGAGAGGATTTTTGCAATGATAGGACTTCTTGGGATTTGACACTAGAAATAAAAAGATTATATTCCTCTTAAAAAAAAACACAGAGAGCTTTTCCCCTGCCTTTCCTGGAAAATCTGACACGCTTAAATCTCTCTCAAAAACAATGTACCACTATACTGTAAAGGCCTTGTGTTCTGCATGCTTAATTCTTTTATTTCCAGAAGCCACTCTGTTCCCCATACCACTCTGCACTCATTAATCTACCTTCATTTTGGACCATAACAACACTTACATCTAAAACTGAACGGATTTTGTCGTCAGCGCGCGAGTGGGCGATTCCCGGCCGTTTGACACACTCACGCGTGAGCAACTAATCCAAATATTCTTCAATAGTGAAACGGATGGCGCCCGAGAGATTTACTTTACTTTTTCCCTCTTTCTTTTCTTTCTAATACTTGTAAAAGCCTGTCCTGTCTAGCAAACAATGCACCGGATGATTAAAAGCAGACAGACAGATAAAAGCAATGAAGGCAAGAATTTATTCCAAGGTCCAGATACAAAGAAGAAAATAAGTTTTAATTTAACTAATAATATTAATGAATTTAAACAAAAAGAACAGGAAAAAAGAGAATAAACAGCAAACCCATCACAAGAAAGAAAACTTCCAACAAAAATAAAATAAAATAAAATCAGAGAGAATAAAAAGGCATTGTCTCCATCAAGGTTTGAATCAGTACATTTCATTTTACCCATATTCATACAACAAAGTCCATGCACAAAACGCATGAGATTCCAATACCTTGTCATCGGACCACCGTCGCCCAATCGAAGCTTCGACCGAAAGTAAAATATGATATTTTCGTGACGAATAATTCTCAAACAGCCGAAACATGTTTCTTTGGTTGGCAGCAAATTAGTGTTGGATTAATTTCGGAATCCACGGCTGAGAGAGGCTGTACCTACTTTTCCATGGCAATTTGCCACAATCCCGCAGATGGGACTGATTTTCGTTCAAGAAATTCTCCACTAATTGTAGACAACTTATCTCGCCGGGCACGAATCGACATCTATTACATCAGCTATTACATCAACATATTTTCGCAGCCAGCGTCCGCGAACAACTAGGAGGTGGATTGTCTGTCTGCCCTCCCATCACCATACTTTCTTTATGCTTGTGTGATCACGGTTAAGCCATGTCAACATTTTATATTAATTTTTTATAGAAATAATAAGACAAAAGGTAATACGAATATAAAATATTGACGTGGCTTAACCGTGACCACACAAACAGGAGTGCATGGAAAGAGTATGGAAATAGGAGGGCAGACAACCCACCTCCGAACAACTATCACTTTATGACAAACTTGTTTCCCACGACACTTCTAAAAACATCAATGTCTAACTTCACCTGTTCTAAGGGGGGTGTAGTCAAACTAAGATTTTAAAGGATTTTAAAAATGATAGATTCTATAAGATTAAAGAGGATTAAGGACTCCAACAAATTCATATGGATTTTAAAGAATTTGAATGGATTGTGGTGGAAGAATTTGAAATCCTAAGGGGGTGAGGTTGGATTCTTTTTAGTCTTGGTTATAGCTCTCAAATCCCACAAAATCCACAACTTATTGAAATCCTCCACAATCTTAATTTTTTTAATACATTTAAATTTGAATGGATTTTAAAATCTTTTAAAATTTTTTAATTAACATCACCCATTCTATATGGATTTCCCATGATCTATTCTAAAGTTGAGGACTGAACTGCTACAGTCACAGGTTTGACCCTTGATTTTGCTTTATTTACAGCACTTCCATCACATTAAGGCTGGGTTGGGGTTTGGGCCGGTCACATTTTGTGCGGTGGGCTTAGTTCATTTCTTGATATAAGCCCAACCCTTAGGGAGTGAAAATGAAGATTTGCTTGGCCACTTTGATCAATTGATTATATCCAACAGAGAATTCATATGGAAAATGCAATCTAGAAAATTCATTCAGGTATAGTGTATAACTTGAAATGCAATCTAGAAGGGTAAATCGAGTGACTTTTTCTTTGTTTTAAGTATTGACAGATGCTATTGAGGAACTATCCACATTAGAACTAATACGAAGTACTTTAAAAAGAGAGAACCATGTTATGCAGTGTGCCTAATCAGTGTACGTATGACACAGTATGTGCGGGTGTGCGTGTGACTGTGTATGTGACTGTGTGTGTGAATGTTGCGCATTGTGTCTAATCAGCGTGTGTAAATATTTAATTAGCTCGCAAAGTTTGCTTGTTCCTGTGAATTTTGATTGTACTAAGCATGTCAAATTGCTATGGATTTGCTGTGTTTGTGAATTTCAGAAATTTGGATCGTTGGAGGGAGCAATTTTGCCGTTGGCTTTTTGAGGTATATTCAGTTACAGTAATTTTGTTACTGTATTGTTGAATTTTTATTAGCAAAGAATTGTGATTTTGTTACCTTTATTTTTGGTTTTTCTCCTCTGTGAAATAGAGAATTGGGCCTCAAATTTTGGGGCATTCTCTAATTTTTGTGATATTTGCTGTGTATTTTGGTGCATGCTCTAACTTTTGTGATGTGAGACCCCTGTAAGCGCCTCTAAACATTGATCATTTGTTTTGTTGGTTAGTCTTAATGCCAATACCTTACCCTAAGCTAGGCATCACAACATCTATGATTCTTTAATTCATTTATAAGAGCATTTTCGTACTGCTGTGCTATCGTTATTGTTTAATACACTGCTTAATTCTAATTTTGATATAAGTTTTCATTAGAATTTAGAACCTTTGTTATGATCAATAATGTATTGTTTTTTTTTTTTTGAAACGAAATGATGTATTGTTTTGGTCAAAGATGTATTGTTATGATCATTAGAATTACGTATACACTTGTGATTTCAATTACCGCTGAATATTTAATATGCATTTGCAATTATTTTGGTAAAGAAATTGAAAAGGAATGTAAAGGCCTATTCCTTTTGCCTTTCATTTTTTCAGTTTTTTCTATTAATGGTTAAGAAGACATGAATCACATGTATGTAAATATTGCAAATCATATATATACATGGAACTTTTAACATGTTTTATATGGTTTAAAAACCCGCAGCATCGCGCGGGCTCCATCGCTAGTGTGATTCTAACATAGGGATTTCACCAAGAGCCCAGCAGAAGATGATCATAAATTTCAAACAGGAATTGAATAAGTTGTAGAAACTCAGATGTATAATTTGCTGAACCGAAGCACTTCACGTGGAAGTTGAGTTCAATATCCATATATTCGCTGGCGGGCCTTTAAATTATTTGAATATCTAAGAGAGAAAAATGGAAAGCAGCAAATTTCCAGAGCAAAAGGAACTTCAACTAATTGAGCTGTGTTCAAATTTTCCCCAACTATTTGAGATTTTACCATCTCGGTGACGAAAAAAAGTAGAGTGAAAAGTAGGTACAACAGAATACCTCATGTGACAGCTCTGGGCTTTTGAGCAGTAGAACGTGGAATAGCCAAGATGGCCACCAGGCCGCTCGCTAAGGATGCAACTCCTGCCACGGCAAAGGCTGGAGCGTTTCCACCACCAAATAGCTGATCCCATGGTCCACTTCCTAGTGATACGACCACCTGTTCTCAAAAAACAAATATTCATGATCAAAACCAGTATAACAAAGACGATAACTGTCATTCACAGAGAAGTCCATGGGAGTTCAATCAATATAACAAAGAAGATAACATGCGATATTATACACTAGTCTACCATACTAAGGGGAGGGAGGAGGGTTTGAACCCGAGACACAATGGGTTGAAGAGGAAGGCCCTAGCCAACAATGCAATCTACCACTTGCAATTATCGAGTAACTGTTATAATAAGGGAAAATAAATACGATTTTTTTTTCAAACCATGCTCTTCAACTCAAGCATCGATGCTTTGCATAAGGGACCAACCCATACCTGAACAGCTGAACCATCACATCCTAGTAGCAGTTTTAAGGGGTTTTGTGAAACAGGGTATTGTTTCTTGGGTTGTGTCAGTAATTCGTCCGAAAATGAGATAGTAGAAAACAATTTCGACTATGTTTCACATGATAGAACAATGGAAAGGTACAGAGCTTAAAATCGATTTTTCGTAATCGACCAAATGGTTAGCGACTACAAGTCCCAGGTGAGGAGATGCTCAACATGAAAAGGTGGCGCTTATTTTCAGAGCTAATAGGCTTGAAGAAGCAAACTCATATGTGTGTGTATACTATACATAGAACATAGAAGGTAGTGCTACGGGAAGAGGAAGACCAAACAACAACTTAGCTAGTGGTAATTAGGAAATATATCAAAACATATGACTTAAAATGAAAATATAACAAATGATAGGACATGACAAAGAATTAGGATGCACATAGACAACCCCACAGTTGGGACAAGGTGCAGGTGAAACATATGTGCATGTATTGCTTCATGTTTGGTTGCTGATTGTAGAAGTGTAAATATAACCTTATACCAGTAACGCATTTCATGTTAATTTAGTTTCTACACAGAAGCGCACACATGCATTGCTAAAAGGAAAATGCGTGTTCTTACCTGCGGGATTACTATTGCCAGATTCAGTACGCCCATTGATAAACCTACAAGAACCAAACATCAATGTAAGAAGTCCTGCAGCTATAACTCCAACGAAAACTTTTTACCCACACCACCTTCTGTAAAAGAAATTCCCACCTTGGCCAAGTCCCAAAGACTCAATTCGAGAAGAAACCAAAGCATACGGAACACTGTATGTGATCTGCAACAAAAATTCTGGTAATTTAAATTCGATTCATAGACCAAGTTCACGCACAAAGCATAGCCATTCCATAATAATTGTGCAGTGAAAGACCTCCAAAAACAACAGATAACTTTCAAATCCATACAAAATGTTCAAAAAAACAAAAGAGAGAGTGATAAATAACACTTTCAAATCCACCCAAAATGTTTCAAAAACAAAAGAGAAAAGTGAAGGTGACTTTTCTTTGAATGAAAAATTATTACTAGATAGGTCAAATTCTTACAGAGGAGATCCCAACTTGACACCCCCATCTGACAGCAGCATATTTTATTCTGAAGTAAATTTTTATATTCTTTTGATGTAAAATTGTCATTATAGTATGCTTGATCAATCATTGGTTACCAAAAGCAAAAGATTCATCGTAAGCACTCTGCTCACAAAATTTAGCCCTGTTTGCCTTCTAACAGTGAAACATACATTGCCAAATAGAAGGCATCCATTGCACTCAACCAGAGATATAAGCTTACCGCCAATGGAACACCAAGAATTGCAAAAATAGCCAGTGCAGCTATCACAATGCCATCTGGAGGTGAATCATGGCCCACAACGCCAATACTTTTGTTCACAAATGTAATAACAAGCATCGCAAGAAAGCAAAGAGTCATGAGAATGCTTGAAATCCCCCACACAAAACCAGCCCCCCATTTCCTGCAAAGCTTCTCCATCAGCACAGAGGTTATACCAAGAACAACCGAATTCAACATCAGACCAAGAGCTCCCATTCTAACACCTGTACTATAATTTATCCCTTCATTTGGCTTGCCACCATATATCTCTCGACCCATCCAATCAGTATCAAAAAGAAGAAATGGAAACCACCCAATCCAGTTTAGAGCAATAACAAGTAGGATTAACCATACAGACCCTGGGAAATATTTAAAAGCCCCAAACAGCTCCCAGAGAAAAGCTTCTTCAATATGACTTGACTGTCCTGGCCCTTCATCAGCAAAGGGTGTAGTTCTGTTACTTGAACCCAGAGGTATTTCCTGAGCTGCTGAAATGCTTATACATGTAGTAATTGCAATGAAGGCAGTGTCGACGAAGAACGCAGACTTGAGGTTTGCACAGTTAACATTGCATGCTGGGGTAATTGAAAATGGAAAAACCTTGAACAAGTAACTGAGTGATCCAATTGCATAGCCAAGAACATTGCCAACCGCCATAAACAGAGAGAAATAAGCGTTTGCCACTCGAGTTCTTCGATAATCCTTTTCTAACAAGAGAGAAATTAAGAAGGAAAATAAAGTGTTACTGGTTTTTATTTTGAAACTTTGAACATCAAGCGCATTTGATATTTTCCGGCAGATTGGCAGCTAAGTGATGTTCCTCAAAAGAACCAACCACACTCCATGCATCAATAATTTCTAGGTTTTCTTAGAGACCTCCGCAAGACTGCAACGAATCAAAATTCTAGCATTTGCAGACATAGTCTCTACACAATATTTGTGCAGGAGGTCATAAGAGTTTCAGCCTCCAGTAGATCATAAGAGACCTAATTTATGATGAGTTTTCAACAGCATTTTTTCACAGAATATAAATACATATTTGAAGTTAAAGTTATAAACTACCGCAAAATTCTTAAAAAAAAATTCCAAAATTGACTAAAATTTGACTAAAGTCAATAGATTGAATAGTCTCTTACTACAGTCTAACGTATTCCTGAGCAATTTAAACCTCGATACCAATTTATTCCCGCACACAGTGTAAATATATTGTTTTATCAAAAAAAGGAAAGTTGGCAAATTTAATAAATGGAAGGTTCATACCAGTGAGATCAGCGAGGAGAGCTCTACAAGGACCCTGAGTCACATTATTGGCCACGTCCAGAATCCAAAACCCGAACACGAATACGGCGATGGCTCTGGGCCTGATGCCGCCTCCTCTGTCGCCGAGCAACCACCCGATATCGGCAGAGAAACCGATTATTAGAACGGAAACGGCGATGCAGGCCGCTCCGACGACGATGAAGGGGCGCCGGCGACCGTATCGGCTTGTGCAGCGGTCACTCATGTGTCCCACAAGGGGCTGGACCACAAGGCCCGATAAGGGTCCACAGAGCCATATGATGCTGGCCCAAGCGTGAGGGATTCCGAGCTCTTGGACGTACGGAGTCAAGAGCGAGAGCTGTAGGGCCCACCCGAATTGGATTCCACACGCGACCGATGCCACTCGGAGGAGCTGCCGGAGTGGGATTCGGGTTCTGACCGCCGGTCGAGCCCTGACCCGGTGCCGGTCTGCTTCTGGAGCTGGCATGGCGACCGGTCCCCCCTCTCTCTCTCTCTCTCTCTCTCTCTAGCACTCTCAAATATATACCTTCCTTCTCTCTTTCCTGTAATCGAAGTTTCTCTCTCTAGAAATGGAAGATGGAGTAAAGAGAGAGACAAGGTGGCGGTTTTTAGTTTGGCCGCGGCAACGTCAGCTGTGAAGTCACAGTGAAAGTGAAGTGGAAGGGTGTGCGAAGACGGAAATGCCCTTGAATTGTGATCAAATTTACGGAGACGACCTGGCAAAAGCAGTCACTATTTGAGTATTTGTCCAATTCAAGGAAAATATGTTCACAATTTTAATCGGAACCAAACATACTTATTTTGGCATGTGGTTTTATCTGCCACTTGTTGAATATGACATAAAGGTTTTTTTTTTTTTTTTTTTGGAACAAACGATATTATATTAAGCGGGTGGTGATGATTTTAAACTCATAATGGATTAGTAATAATATGTTTCAAATTCATTTTTCGTAAGAATCGAACATAAAACATCTTACTTAAGCCTCCGCCTGAACTCCACCTATACGTTAGGCTTCTGCTCGCCATCCAACTAACGCCTAGCACATGCTAAAACTTTGGTATTTATTGAGTTGGGCAAATAGTAGTATTTTTATTATAAACCCTTCATGATTGGAGTTTGGAGTGGCAAATTATGATTGGAAGTGAGGGCAAAGTCGGTGTGGCATTTTGGCATTCGAGAGCTCAACAGTCAAGTGACAAGCAGAAGGTTGCACCGAAAGGCTAAATTGTTTATGTAAACGACACAAAAAAATGTATATAATTTATTCATTTTTTTAGTTTTGATGAATGCAGGCCTGTTGGTTTGATGGGTGTTTGATGGTGTTTGGATGTACTAGGTAAAATGGGTAGTATTTGATGAAAATGATTATAACCGAAACGAATAAAACTCGATCTGTGTCATAGAGGATTAGACCAGCCAGATTACATCTTAAGGGTTAGATTGTCAGACTCATATTGAAGCAAAATTGGTAATTGTTTACAATATTTTAATCTAATTTAAAAGTGACACTCAATTTACTCATAATTCTAGCCTTAACTATATCTACTGAATACATAATGCGTGATTCATCGGTTAACAAAGTATTGTCTCTTGAATGATCTCTATACACTAATTTAAATGTGTCATTTTAAAAATTGTAATAGTTCTTACGTTTTAGTGAATACCCATATATTTTCTCTACTAAAGAGAAGAATAAACCATTTGATCCTTAAACATATGGAATTTTAGAATTACACTTTTTTTATCCATTTAGTACTACTCATCTAAAATTGAGTCCGAAACGAACTCTTTGTCACTTAGTATTACAATTTAGTGCTATTGCTCTTCACCTGTAAGTGAGAGGTCTTGTGTTTATTGCTCTTCACTTGTAAGTGAGAGGTCTTGTGTTTGATTCTCGCCAAAAACGAATTTGAACCACATTATTGATAGCTCATTGTGAGGCTTAGCCCACTCCTCCCCCCTCAGTGTAAATAATATCGTTTGTTCAAATAAAAAAAAAAGAAAGATTGTTTTCTATCATTAATTAGTTGTATACATTGATATATCATTATCTCGTTGTCACTAGAATAATAAACATCGATGTATTGTTAAAACGCTCCCACTAAACATATATATTGATGTTGGGAGTTAGCAGTCCCACATCGGAGAGAGGGAGAAAAGAAGAGTACTTTAAATAGATTACCACATTCTAACTAACACCAAGGTCTTTTGTGATAAAACTCTACATCTGACAAATTAGGCAAGTGGTAAAGTGAGGACGGTATTGGTGTTGTTGGAGTGGGCCCTCAGCCCGTTGACTTGAAAAATTCAACATGGTATCAAAGCCAGAGGACGAGCCCGTACTGCCACATGATTGGGTGGGTCCCCGTTTGGCCCCGCGTGATAGGTGAGCCCCCACATGACTCCACATGATTGTTGATGTGTGGATCTCCACGTGTGACCCATAAAAATAGAATCTTACATGTGAGGGAGTGTTGGAAGTCAACAGTCCCACATCTAACTAACACCAAGACCTTCAACCACTCGACTTGAAAAATTCAACATATATTGATATATCATTGTCTCGGGCCACATATAATTTGATAAATATGTGATACCTGTCCTCAAGGAAGGTTTGAGGGTTTCGGGGTGGGGTTGTTAATGGTCATAAAAATAAAAGTGCATGAGTACTTATTGAACAAGCATGCTTTATGAGATGCCTTGTCCTGTATAAAAACTCCAAGGAGTTGAGTATTATTAGAGAGAGAAAAGGGGAATTAAAAATAGTGGGGTTGACAGGTTCAGGCACAATAAAAATCCTAGGTTGCTTTATTTGTATTTACTATCTAGTACAATTCTCAGCATGTTGATAACGTTGGAAGTTTGTTCATGATGTTGGAAGCTGGTGATAGGTAAGGAATCCGGATCCTCATCGGATTCTTTTTGTACGGATTCTGAAGATTTGTTAATTCTGTTTGTTCATCGTATATTGTGCAGTTAGAAATTATTTTAAATATTTTTATTTAAAATTAAATACAAACAATACTTGACAAAAACTAACTGCATGATGTACGATGAACAGATACGATTTACGGATCCCAGGATCCTCACCAAAAGGATCCGAAGAGGATTCTGTTGGATAGATAGGAATTTCAGACTATAAAGCTATTCCTAATCTAGATTAGGCGTTAAAATTTTAAAATTTAGTCACATATTTTTAACTATTTATCTATACATATGAAGTCAAGTATTTTTTTTTTCTTCAACTAAGGGACCTATAATTCTTACCCCTAATTTATAATTTTGTTAAAAATTTGGTTTTTTTTTTTTTTTTTTTTGCTAATAATTTTTGTACTTGTTTTATTTTACGAACATTTTGATGTAAAATATTCAAATTTCAAAGAAAAAATCGTTGAGAAATTTGATATTTTTTATTTTTATGGATTAGTGAACAAATGTATGTGTATTTATAGATTTTGGGAGGAGTTTTGGTGTTAGGTCTAATTTGGATTAATTAATAATAGCATTTTGACCGTTGGAATTAAATTTGGATCATTAAATCTTTTTTATTACAGTTAAAATTGAATTTGAGTTGTTGAATTTAAAAGAGATGTAGCTGAACGCGCCACACTGTATCAAAATCCAGGAGGCACTACTACCATTAGATGGCAACAACATGCCAATCTAGGTCGTAGAAAGTGTGATGCTGGTGCACTCTCCTGCAATCGATCCCTCCCCTTGTCTGCTTATTCGCGCATTGATGGTCTTCACATGGAGAAAGTTTTAGTTGTGATGGAAACATAAGTGGTACACCACATGTTTTAATAGGAGTGGTGGAAAATTTTATTTTTTAAGTTATTAACTTTTTATCACACATATCCCATCATTTATATAATGACACGTGATGTACCAGCCCGTGTATCAGTCACATTGAAAAATCTCTTATTCACGTGGGCTGGCTATGCTACTAGTCTCACGTGGCGTGGGTCCCTTGGCCCACTTGCAACCTTATCCATGTGGGGTGGGAAGTCATCCCAAATTCCCACCCCTAATCCCAAAATCCCATTTTTCCCACTCCAAAATACATGCCTTGGAGAGGTTTTGGACCCAAAATTTGGGTTTATTTTGTTTCCCACCCTTCCATCGGAGACAGCCTAATATATTGTCTAATTTGTGTTTATATAAAATTAAAAGAAGAAAAAAAAAGTTATCAACTAAAAATCATGAAAACACAAAGAAGTTGATATTACACTTCAAAATCAATTGGCGATAGGAGAAGTAGCTTAACTCAACTCTTATAAGCAAGTGCAATATCTCCTAAATTTTTTAACAAAAGACAGCACTCTGCATCTTCACACTTATTTAAAAACAAACTCAGTTGATCCAATTACCATTTGGGCTACAACTACAACCCAAATTGCAGTATCGGGCTCATTCGGAGACTACAAAATTTGGATGCATCGGCAATTCTTCGTACCTGTATGAATGAACAAAAAGCCTTAGCTTGCCAAATCTTTGTTGCACAAGATGGGCCAAGCCAGGTCGAATTCAATATAATTGGGTTTATGACTTGTAATTTTTCATTGGCCACACCCGCTCAAGCAAAATACCTTTTCATCAAGGATATTAATTATTGCCTTGCAAAAAAATTTCTTACATAAATAATGTCAAGCCATACTCATAAATTATCTCCAACCAAAAGGGCTAAATATGGTCTCCTTAATAATTTATTAGTTTTAAATTTATACTATAAATCTATTGGTTATTTCAATTAAATTACTTTTAGATGTTTTCAAATCTAGCCGTTGACTTTAAATCAATTATTGCAACGAATGAGCTGGGCCCCAAAAAAGGGGCTAAAAGGCTGCTACGTTCAGTCATCATGATGCCCTTTGGCAAAATAATTGTCTGGTAGACTCCATAGAATTATAGCACAACCATAGGTTGGAGATAAATTTTTAGACAAATCAGATTATTTTTTGGTTTTTTGACCTTTAACCCTCTCTATTGAAGATGACCTTAAGTCGCCTTGAAAAGCTAAAAAAATGGCCAAGGACCGTTGTGGGGGTGACTCGAGTTCGGCTCTATTTTTTGGGTCGTCGGCCTTCCTAATCCGATCACAATGCCGGACTTGATTGGGCCGTTTTAAAAATGAATAGGACATGGAACTTGCTTTAGGTTTTGAGTCGGCTAAATTGGACAAAATTGGTGTTAATTTAGGCAAGGGAAAATAAAAAGGAGGTGATATTTAATTAACAAAAATGATTGGAGGATTGAGAATTCATAGGTTAAAAAGGTTATTTGATGCTAGCATATCCCATAAGTGGATGTTTTAGACTTTTTGAATTGTTTAGGATCATTTTAATATTTTGTTGTTTGTGACACATTGGTAATCTTGGATTTTAAGAGGTAGTTTCCCAAGAGTGCCTGCATCTGTCGCTCTGCCCCCCTCTTTTATCTTGACATTAAAAGTATGAGTAGTATCCAATGGTCCTCTAACTAAAGTGTTTGTACCCGAATTTGCATTATTGGCGTATTTAGAGAGGCCATTGAAT